AATCCATGGGAGGAATAAAATCACAATTTTCACATGGATTTCAATCCGTGCTGTGAAAATGAATTCTCAGAGTTGATTTTTTTTTTCCTGGGCAGAGATGGACACTGAGGAGYTGGAGAAGGAGCTGGACAGTCTCCTGCAGGATTCGGGGAAGGATTCTGTGGATCATTCTGTGGATTTGCCTCCCGTCCCCCAAAAGGGGCTGAGTCCCCAAATCTCTGATGCAGAGCTGGAGGCAGAGCTGGAGAAACTCTCTGTGTCTGCTGGAGGTGGGAAAAAAAGGGAAAATGGGAAAATGGAAAATGGGAAAATGAGAGGGAAAATGGGAAAATTGGAGGGAGCTCTCTGTGTCTGCTGGAGGTGGGAAAAAAGGGAAAAAGGGAAAATGGAAAAATGGGAAAGAGGGAGAGAGGGAAAGAGGTAGGGAGCTCTCTGTGTCTGCTGGAGGTGGGGATGGCCTGGGAAAAAGGGAAAAAGGGAAAAAGGGAAAATGGGAAAAAGGGAAAGAGGGAGGGAGCTCTCTGTATCTGCTGGAGGTGGGAAAATAGGGAAAAAGGGAAAAAAAATGGGAAAATGGGAGGGAGCTCTCTGTGTCTGCTGGAGGTGGGAATGGCCTGGGAAAAAGGGATGGATGGAGGGAAATCTCCATCTCCTGTTTGGGCAGCTGATAACTTCAATATCCAGAGTATTCCCTATCAAAAATGGCAATTCCAAGGAATTCCACGGAGATGGAACAGGGAATTCCAAGGGGATGGAGGATGTGATTCCAATGGACTGGAATGGGGAATTCCAAAGGGATGGAAGATATTATTCCAAGGGGTGGAAGATGTGATTCCAAAGGGATGGAACAGGGAATTCCAAGGGGTGGAAGATGTAATTCCAAGGGTCTGGAACCAGAAATTCCGAGGGACTGGAACAGGGAATTCCACGGGGATGGAGCAGGGAGTTCCAAGGGGCTGGAAGATGGATTCCAAGGGAACGGAAAATGTGATTCCAAAGGGATGGAAGATGTGATTCCAAGGGGGTGGAACAGGGAATTCCACAGGGGATGGAGGATGTGATTCCAGGGGACTGGAACAGGGAATTCCAAGGGTCTGGAACAGGGAATTACAAGGGACTGGAAAATGTAATTCCAAGAGGATGGAAGATGTGATTCCAAGAGAGCGGAAAATGTGATTTCAAAGGGATGGAGCAGGGAATTCCAAGGGACTGGAAAATGTAATTCCAAGGGATGGAAGATACAATTCCAAGGGGGTGGAACAGGAAATTCCAAGGGGATGGAACAGGGAATTTCACAGATATGGAAGATGTGATTCCAAAGGGATGGAAAATGTAATTCCAAAGGGATGGAAGATGTAATTCCAAAGGGATGGAGCTGATCATCAAAGCCCAGGGCACTCTGGAATTTTCCTGGGTGATTTTGGATGTGTTTCTGATCTCTCTCCCCCATTCTCTTCACAGAGGCACCACCAACAACCCCCTCCTCTTCCTCCGAACCCAAAACAGCTCTGGGACTGAACCTCTGAAGGAAGGAAGAGCCGACACCATCCTGTCGCTGCAGTTTGGGAAATTGTCTTAAACCTTCCTTAACTCATGACTAAAACTTCCAAAAAAAGAGATCCCTGGTGTCCTTTGGGGTCTCTCTCTCTCTGCTCAGAGCAGGATCTCCTGCCGTGACAATCCGCTCCGGCCCCGGCTGCCGTTTTGTCATCTCCGTGCCAACATCTGCACCGGTCTCGATGTGCCTCGTGACCCTCAAATCACTGCCACATCCAATCTTCCCTCCTGGGAATACAAGATCGACTCTTCTGTGGCCGGTTTGATTTTTTATTTTTATTTTT